TTCTAGTGCAGCTATCTCCTGTTGCATTGCTTCAATTCACCTGTTATCCTGGGCAACTTCCTTGAAGGAACTAGGCTCAATGTGTGTTAAGAAAGCCTTTAAGTATGACTGATATCTTGTAGTGAGGTTAGCATATGTGAGTCCTTGAGAAATAGGGTATAAGTTGTTTCCTGTGAATTTTCCTGGTGCCACATAATTTTTCATCCATATAGGTGGCCTAGAAATTCTTGCTAATTTTCTAACATTCATTTCTTCTTCTGCTGGTGAGGTTTCTTCAGTTTCCTCAACTATATCTAGAGCTAGGGGATCTGAACTCATGCTGATATCTGCTTCATCCTGATTCAGTGGTTGTGACAGATATATACTGTCCTCATTCAATTCTCATGTAAATGCTCTTGTGGTTCTATGTGTGCGATATTTGGAGGTATATCTCCAGTTTGTGTAGGGGTATCAAGAGGATGGGGTTGTGAAGAAGTTTGTGCAGGGATATCAATAGGTGTTAATTCAGGAGGATCTTGTGGGAATATACCATCTAAATCTGAAGTCATTCCTTTGAAAGGAAATACTTGTTCTCTAAACACAACATCTCTGCTTACTAGAAATATTCTATTCTCCAAATCATATAATCTGTAACCTTTCTGAGTCTCTGAATAACCTATTAGTACATCTCTCCTTGCTCTTGGTGCAAATTTGTCTCCTTTAGGTAGAGTGCTTGCAAAACATAAACATCCAAAAACTTTAAGATGGTCAATTCTTGTTGTCTTCTTGTAGAGCATCTCATAAGGTGATTTTCCTGATAAAGCAGAAGTTGGCCATTTGTTTATCAAGTAAACTGTTGTCTTAACACAGTCACCCCAGAATCTATTTGGCAAGGAGCTCTGAAATTTTAATGCTCTAGCTACTTCCAGTATATGGCCGTGTTTTCTCTCTACCGCCCCATTTTGTTGGGGTGTGTATGGACATCTACTTTGATGCACTATGCCCAATGAACTCATTAATTCATTACTCTTAAAATTAAATAATTCAGTGCCATTGTCTGACCTTAATCTTTTTACATTCAGATTAAACTGATTGTATACCGTAGTAAAGAAATCCTTTAGCACAACAAACACTTCACACTTTGAATGCAACAAACATATCTAAGTATATATGCTAAAATGATCAACTAGTGTTACAAAGTAATGTTTCTTATCATATGTTGGTATCATGTGAGGACCCCAAACATCTACATGCAATAATTGAAAAATCTGTTCTGTTTTATTGCTACTAGTTTGGAAAGGAAGTCTATTCTGTTTGGCCAAGGGACACACTTCACAACCGTGTTGTGTCCTAGCATCTATCTTATTCTTTAGCAGAGAAATATGTTGCATTGCAACAGCTGAAGGATGACCCAACTTGAGGTGCTATAGTGCTGAATCTTCCTGCACTTGCACAATACTTCTTGCTACAACTGAAAATTCTTTACTGATCTCCTTTTTCAACAAATACAGGCCATTGTGTTCTTTACCAATCACCAGAACCTTCCCACTGTAGAGACCCTGAAATACACAAAAATGTGGAAAAAAACAGCACAACATGATAGCTCTTTAGTCAGTTTAGACACTGACATTAGATTGAATTTAAAATCAGGGATATGTAGAACATCTTTCAGATCAATTCATCTAACATCTTCACATTCTCTGCATGTGCTACATGACATTTCCCCCTGTAGGTACCTGTACATCACTATTATTCTGATTTTCAACCTTTCTTACATTATCTAGTACTTTTTTATAAGGTGTAACATGATGTGAGGCACCAGTGTCAATTATTCAATCATAGTCAAATGCCTTGGACAAAAAAGAGGTTATACCTATCATTAAGGTATGACATTCACCTAGATCAAGATTTGGCTTGTTTATGAGGCTCAGCAGTTGCTTGTACTGGTCTTCTGTGAAAAAATGCCCCTGCATCTGAGAGGTAGTGTCAGAACTTCCTCCTTCTCCTGTTGATAAATTAGCATATCCCTTTACTCTAGTGTTCTGAGGCTTCTTCTTACTTTTAAAGTCTAGTGGATAGCCTATGATCTTATATCAATTCTCCTTCAAGTGACATTTATACCCACAGTAATCACATATGAGACCTGGTTTCCTTGCAGCCTTGAAGCCTTGTCCTCTTCCAGCTAGCATAGTTAAAGGTTCCTTAACTGAACTAGCTATACTAAGTGTACGTTGACTTTCTTCTTGAACTGTTAGTGCTAAGCTTGATTCACAGTCAATACAGATATTTTCAAAAGAATTTGACTTCTCACATGACTGTAACTCTCGTTCAAACCAACAAGGAATTGTAACAAACGCAGGTTTTTAAACTGATCCAAAAAGGTCCGATTTCCTCAAAATCACACCCTACTCCTGGTATCGTTAGATCCATTTCATCCCACAAATCTTTTATTTTAGTGTAATAGGTCGTTATAGAATCTGTTCCTTGCGTTAGGGTTCCTATTGTGGTCCATAAATGATAAAATCTAGTAAGGTTCGATTTGTTAAATCGTTCCTTAAATTTATTCCATACCTTTCTCGCATCAGATGCGTAGATGATACTAGGTTGTAAATCAGCAGAAACAGTGGGACCAATCCACGAGAGCACCACAGCGTTACATAGTTCCTATTGATGCCCTAATTCACCTCTGTAAGAGCTTTTCAAACATGTTCTGTCGATGAACCCTAACTTATTTTTCACCAACAATGCCATCCTCATCGATCTGCTCCATAATACGTAATTGTCAGGTCATGTGAGCTTGATGTCAATCAGTGTTACCCCAAGTGTATCTGTTTGTTGCAAAAACAATGGGTGATTGTGATCAATTTGTAGATTTACAGTTTCCGCCATGGCAGACCAGCTCAAGCTTCAACAATGGCTGTCAATTTGGAATTTTGAAATCCTTGATCTAACTTCAAATTGCCCGCTCTGATACCATGACAAAATATTAGTAGAGATATGCACTAAATCGACATTGCATGTAATTGAAAAGAAGAAGAAGATGAGTTGAAGGAGAGAACCAGCTAAGAAGAGAAAGGAATATGTTATTTTCACTATTACAGGCGGTGCAGTATAACTGCCTTTAATACAAGACCGCTCACACGAGTCACGCGTGTGATAAGGGTAAAAAGATCAAAGTTCCCCAACTACTTAACTAACATCACTACTGACAACAACAACAACAACAACAATCCAGTATAATCTCACTTAGTGGGGTTTGAGGAGGGTAGTGTGTACGTAAACCTTACCCCTACCCTGGAGTAGAGAGACTGTTTCCAAATAGACCCCTGACATACTTCCCTCCAAGAACTTCCCACCTTGCTCTTGGGGGGACTCGATCTCACAACCTCTTAGTTGGAAGTGGAAGTTGCTTACCATCAGAGCAATCCCTCTTGTCACATCACTACTGAATATTCAATATTTCGTTTGTATAAATAATAGCAACTTGTGAGCCGGAATAATAAAATATTCTTGAGTAAGTATTAATTCATAAAATCTTGATACATGCAGATGATGTTACAGTTCTTTAATTGAGTATTCTGTTCACACTAAACAGGCAAAGTGGTGGTATAAATTTGTAACGCCTACAAATTTAGCGTACAAATTACCTCTAAGTGGTCTTTCCCTTAGTTTTTTAAACATTCTTAATAGTTGCTAAACTTTCATGTTTATAACAAAAAATCAATCTCTCAATTGTAAGTTGCTTCTATATCTGCTGGCGAAATTTATAGTCATCGGTCCATTCTATATATACTTTCTTTTCTTTGTTTTTTGAAATATTTTTAATTTCATCAAATAAGTATTCTACCAACTTGGCAAATTCTAATGTTTGGTAAATGTGAACGAGGCATAGTTTGAGGAGAAATTTTTTGGTTTACCCTTACCACTAGTAATAATATATACTATAATGACTTTAATACAAGTACTAATTGCATTAACACATGTAGTACTTAGATTCAATTTTTAAATTCTCACCGACCTTAGTCAGCTTACTTGTCTTTTTTTGATATATTTTTTTATAATCATCTAGTATCAGAATTCATAGGGCATTGGCGTTCTAATCCATATTAATAGAGACTGCAACAATGGGAGTTGAACCAGCGACCTCACAAAGGTTTTGAACCTCCTTAACTTTTAAGTTATGTTTTTGGGTTGTGTCAAGAAGATCCAAAATATAATTTATAGAGGCATAAATCATATTTTACCTTATATGTACAGTGTAATTATCAGCAAACGGTGTTCGGGTGAACTCCCTTCCATCCCCATAAATCCGCCCCTGCCTATCATGGATTTTTTTTATTTGCATGATTTAAACCCGAAATCTCTAATAAAGGTGGAAGAATCTTATCCGTCATATGATATCAGGTTACATATGACCATAATAGTATTATTAATTGATTACACATTCAAATCTATATGCTTATATATAGAGTGATAATTTGGCAGGGCTAAGACAAATGGAAGTTGAGCAAGTTCTTCACATGAGTGGAGGGGAAGATCAAACTAGCTATTCCAACAACTCCTTAGTTCTAGTTAGTCAATATCTCCCTCTTTCTCTACTTTGTGTAATAAAATACTTTTCCCGCCTAAAATAATCACGGGGATCATAATTAATATGATCTTATTATAAATTTTTTTTTCATATGTCGACATAGTTCGGCTGAAAGTACTGAACTTAGTTGAACTCATAGAACCTATCCTGTATCCAGTGGCGGAGCCACATTGAACCAAGGGGTTTCAAACAACACTTTTTCGCCAGAAAATTACACTATATTGCTAAATATTATTTTTATTTTATGTATATTTACTATACATTGACTCTCCTTGATTTTTTGATGTATCTAATTATTTATATTTTGACACCCAACAACAACAACTACCCAGTAAAATCCCACAAAGTGGGGTCTGGGAAGGGTAATGTGTACGCAGACCTTACCCCTGCCCTGATAGGGCAGAGATGCTGTTTCCGATAGACCCTCGGCTCAGAAAAAAGAAAAAGAGAAGGAGACAATTTATTAGTAACTCCAGTAGAAACCATAATAGTAACAGAAGCATAACAACCAAAAGATAAATGACATGCAATAACAGTAACCAGTAACTAAGGCCCGGGGCTAAGATAAACAACAAGGATAGTGTGGATTCAACATAAACTGCAAGCTATCTAAGATCAACCCTAATCCAACCCCGCCTCACCTCCGGTATGAAGTACGCAAAGCTCTACTACCCTCTAACCTACAACCCTATATTTTGACACCCCTTGATGAATATTCCAGCTCCGCCACTGCCTGTATCTGCCGATACTAATATTGCTTTTATTGGATTCTTGATTTTCAGAAGCTGGTTATTCTCAAGGTGAGAGCCATTCTTGAAGAAAGTATACAAAGATTTTGTCATTTGGGGTTTCCAGAATGTATAACCCTAGCTGACTTGGGATGTTCTTCAGGGCCAAATGCAATATTACCAATAGCTGAAATGGTAGAAATTGTGGACAAATTAAGCGAAGAATTGAATAATCAAAAGCCACTTAATATTCAAGTCTTTTTGAATGATCTCGTTGGCAATGATTTTAACACTGTTTTCAAGCTTCTGCCTAGTTTTTATAAACAGATCCAAAGAAAGAAGGGAGAGGGTTCATGTTTCATTGGAGCTATGCCTGGTTCATTTTATGGCAGGCTTTTTCCTCAACATTCTGTTCATTTGGTGCATTCTTCTTATAGTCTTCATTGGCTATCTCAGGTTGGTCATTTCCTTTCTTGAATGGTTAAAGTATTATACACTTACATCGTAAAGATTTTTTATACTATCAATATAATTTAATCATAGAAATTATGTTTCGGTGTAAGTTAACCATATAGATGTCTTACACTATCATTGTAATTTAATTATAGAGATATTTTATTCTATCAGTGTAATTTAATCAGTATATTTTAAGTCGTCGTAATCAGGGGAGGAGCTATGTTGACAGAATGGAATTCAGCCGAACCTCTTTCGCCCAAAAATTACACTAGGTAGATTAGGTCAATTTTTCTCAATATGTATATATTAGATGTTGAATCCCCTTAGCTTCTTTGCGTGTTTATATTTTATTTTATTTAAAATTTTTCGAATTCCCTTGGTAAAAATCTTGCTTTTGCCGCTGGTCGTAATAGCAAATCACTTGTCTTGTGTTTCATATAAATAATAATTTTACTATCTTTTAGGTGAGCCGATAGTATAACTTTTTATTATATAAAAGTTAAACTTCTAACTGATGTTTTCAGGTTCCGAAAGGGTTAGTCACTGAATCTGGTTTGCCATTGAACAAAGGCAACATTTACATAGCAAAAACCAGTCCCTCAAATGTTCATGAAGCTTACTTCATTCAATTTCAAAAGGATTTTACTAATTTTCTTAGTATGCGCTCTGAAGAGATTGTACATTGTGGGAGTTTAGTTCTTACTTGATACCTTATCAACACTGTTTCGGACACAACTAGTACATTCCAAAATCACCGTTACTCGGACATCTTTCCCCTTGGCCATGAACCTCCTTTCATCTGTAAAAATGATGAAGTTGATGGTTGTGATTTCTGGGAATTGCTTGGGATCACTTTGAATGACATGGCCATTGAGGTATTTCTTTCTAATTCTTCTAAATTACATTTTGATTCCATCTAGATACTTCTTCCGGTTTATATTATCTGTCGTTTAAGGTTTTTATACATCGTTTCGAAATTTAATAGTCTTGTTTATAAGAGCTTTGTCCAATATTCTCTTTATCTAGATACTTCTTCCGGTTTATATTATCTGTCGTTTAAGGTTTTTATACATCGTTTCGAAATTTAATAGTCTTGTTTATAAGAGCTTTGTCCAATATTCTCTTTATCTAGATACTTCTTCCGGTTTATATTATCTGTCGTTTAAGGTTTTTATACATCGTTTCGAAATTTAATAGTCTTGTTTATAAGAGCTTTGTCCAATATTCTCTTTATCTATTATTAAACATCTCGCTTAATTAATACTATTGTAATGGAATAGTAAAGGTAAATTCGATAAAAATGTAATATTAAATTAAAAGAGAAAAATAGTATCTTTTAAGATTGATAAAAACTATAGCATAATGAGGTATAAAGTGGTGCGTATTTAGAATATAATTGGTTGCCCATAACTTAAATTTTATTATTGCAAACTAAAGACTAGCTTCGACCTCACAATTCTTTGTACTCAAACTTTTTTCCTTTCACTCACACTTTGGGGCAGATATACCTTGCTGACACCGCTTAGTCGGTTTTTTTTTAAATATGTATATATAAATAGTATACAAAATGAAAAAAAATGGGTATAAATATATAAAATAACACCTCTTTTTCTTATAGTGATTTATTCATATTATTTTTTCAAATTTTGACACTGGTTACCAATAACTCTGCGTATGTCGCTGAAATTAAAGTTAGTGATGATTTAGTTTAACATAATATATGACTTATTCAACAAATTATGAACCGACTGAAAGACACTTGTCATCTTCTTGACATAAGATCATCTTGGACGCTCATGACTTTTATTTTCTTTTTGTTGACACAGGGGTTGGTTGAAGAAGCCAAGTTAGACAAGTTCAATCTTCCACTATATGCACCTTCTACAAAAGAATTAAAACAAATTATTGAGAAGGAAGGCTCTTTCAAACTATTGCAACTTGAGACATTTAAACTCAAGTGGGATTCAAACATGGATGATAATAGTGAGAAAGAAGCAACAATATTTGATGAGAAGAGTAAGGCCAAATATATAGCTGGAAATATGAGAGCAGTTCAAGAACCTATATTAGTAGAACATTTTGGAGAAGAAATTATGGATGATTTGTTTGAAAGATATGGCAAGAAAGCAATAGAGTACATGAAGAATGGGAAAGGCATTATTAATAATGTGGTTGTGTCTCTTAGTAAATGGAATAAGAAAGGGGAATCTTGGAACAATGGTAAAGTTGTTCCCGTATAACCTATAAGTTACGTGTTCGAGTTGTAGAAGCAGCAATTAATACTTGTATTAGGGTAAATTTTCTACATCACACCTCTTGAGGTGCGCCTCTTTCCCGACCTAACAGAACAAAAAATTAGAGAACCTTTCGAAAACGAGTGCTTTACCTCCTTAATAGATTTATCCGACACGAATCAGTTGGACTAGTAGATTTTAAATGTTGAATGATTAATAATGATAGAGAAATTGTTTAAATATTCATTTTTTATTTCCAATAAACCAGTGGTGTAGCTTGATTATTTGTTGTGAGTGCACAATAAATTAAAGATTTGTGGAAATTGCATTTTGATTAGTTTCGTTGTTCCTCTATGCCTATCTTTTCAAGCATTAGTGGAGAAATTTAAAAATAGTCAGATTTATAAATGGTCATTCAAAAATAGTTACAATTTCAAAAGTAATTGAAATTTAGCCACTTTTCATGTAATGATAAATCTGAACGAAAATATTGTTTAAAATCCGGAAAATATTCCAATATAATATACTAGAGTTCCAGTATAATATATGGGTCCAGCATAATATACTGGAACTTTCCGCGTGTTGCAGTTCTAGCATAATATGCTGGAAGTTCATACACAGGTTCACCGATCTCCAGTATATTATGTTGGAACTTTCCGTGTTGCAGCAAAATAGTGACTATTTTTATGACTTTGCGGATACTAGCTATTTTTGAATGACCAATCCAAAAACTGGCTAGCCCGTGCTAGTTTTACAGCATTAGCTACAAGGAGAAAAAGTGGAGTGGACTGCGGACTTGGTTTTGGACCTACAAAACCAGATTCAAGCATAAAAATTGCACATGGCGCCCTATTTGGTCGCCCCCATTTAACCTTTACCCATTTTTTTTTAAATTTTAACTTGTACCCACTTTTTAAACAACTTCAGCCCCTTTCCTCCTCCTCCTCCTCCTTCTCATCCTCAAAGTTATATCCGCCCAAGAACAAAAATGCATATGTTTCAATTTTCAAGAAAGGAAGGAAAACAAAACGTTAAAGAATGGGAGCGTCATCCACTCAAATATTTGTAAATACTCTTGTCTTTGTTGCGGAAGCCAAATGTATATAGTGTGAATGAGTCACAACTACTATACCAAAAATTATGGCAGCCACCAAATAATAAATAAGACAATAAAACAACAATAAAAGGAACACAAGAATTTACGAAGTTCAACTAATTTTGCCTACTTCCTCGGACACAACCAATATTTTATTCCACTCCAAAAATACAAGTGAAATAATACTAAAGAGAGAAGATACAAATGCCTTAAGAAGATAAGAAGGCAAATGAGAGGTGTGTCTAAATCCTAAACATTAGGCCTCCTTTTATAGGGAAAAATTCCCTACCAAATGGCTAAACCACCGATGCGGGATTTGCCAAATTCAACAAATCTCCACCTTGGAAAAATTCCACATCTTCAATTTTCTCTCAATAATAAATTTTGGTTGTGTCTTCATCTTCAATCTTCAGTGTTCAACAATGTTGATCAAATCCAAACAATGTTGAAACTTGACCGCAGTCACCACTTTTGTCAGCATATCAGCAAGATTCTCTGTAGTATGAATTTTCTTCACCGTGATCCACCATCTTCCATGATTTCTCGTAAAAATGATACTGATCATCAATGTGCTTCGGCCTTGCATGATAAACTTGGTTCTTCGCTAATTGAATAACACTTTGACTATCACAAAAAATTGTGATACTTTTTTGTTCAATACCAAGCTCTTTTAGTAACCCCTAAAGCCAAATTGCCTCTTTCACAGCCTCTATAATAGCCATGTACTCTGCCTCTGTTGTAGACAAAGTAACTGTTGACTGCAAAGTAGACTTCTAACTAACTGGTGCCTTTGCAAAAGTAAACACATAACCAGTAGTTGATCTTCGTTTGTCTAGATCACCCGCAAAATCCGAGTCACAATATCCAACTACAGACTGATTGCCTTCCTGCTCAAAAACTAACTTAACATCTACAGTATTATGAATATACCGTAGAATCCACTTCACAGCTTGCCAATGCTCCTTTCCTGGATTGTGCATATATCTGCTAATAACTCCAACAGCTTGTGAAATGTCAGGCCTTGTGCAAACCATTGCATACATCAAGCTACCAACAACATTTGCGTATGGTAGCTTTGACATATACTCTAGTTCAGCTTCATCTTTTGGCGACATAGTAGTACTTAGCTTAAAATGGGGAGCAAGTGGAGTACTAACTGGCTTAGTCTTTTCATTTATGCCAAAACGTTATAGTACTCTTTTCAAATATTCTTTCTGAGATAAACAGAGTTTCTTTGAACGTCTATCTCTTATTATCTCCATGCCAAGAATTTTCTTTGCCTCACCCAAATCCTTCATCTCGAACTCCTTCTTCAGTTGAATCTTCAACTTATCAATTTCTTCCAAATTCTTGGAAGCTATCAACATATCATCAACATATAGGAGAAGATATACAAAGGAACCATCTTTAAGCTTGTGCAAATACACACAATGATCGTATTTGCTTCTCTTGTACCCTTGCCGCAACATAAACTCGTCAAATCGCTTGTACCATTGTCTAGAAGATTGTTTCAATCTGTACAATGATTTTTCAAGTTTTCACACAATATTTTCTTTTCCAGTAACTTTGAATCCTTCTGGCTGAGTCATGTAGATTTCCTCCTCCAAGTTTCCATGTAAAAATGCAGTTTTTACATCCATCTCAACTAGTTCCAAATCCAGCTGTGCTACCAAAGCCAACATAATTCTAATGGAGGAATGTTTTACAACTAGAGAAAACACTTCATTGTAATCAATTCCCTCCTTTTGAGCATATCCTTTGGCCACCAATCTTGCTTTGTAGCGAATATCATCTTGGTTAGAAAATCCTTCTTTCTTTGCAAATACCCATTTGCACCCAATTGTTTTCTTTCCCTTCGGGAGATTGGCCAATCTCCATGTATGATTCTGATGAAGGGATTGTATTTCATCATTCATGGCAATCCTCCACTTATCTTCTTCTGAACTTTGGACTGCATCTTTATAAGTGGTAGGAACATCATCAGCTACAATTAGGCGGCACAAGCAACCGTCTCTATAAGACGAACGAGTTTTGTTATTGTCCTTTTTGGCTTGCTAGTTGCAATTGATTCAAGTTGTTGTTGAGGTTCCTGAGTTGGAATTTCCCTCTCTACTGGCTCTTCTTCCAAAGGATAATCTTTATTTGTTTCCTCTTCTGCTTCTTGTGTAGGAAAAATAAATTTTCCTTCAAACTCCACCTGCTTAGAAGCACCCTCATTTTATTTGGTATCTTCTGTCACCTTATTTACCATAGCAGATTCATCAAAGGTAACATCCCTGCTGAGTATTACTTTCTTTGTCATAGGACACCATAAGTGATATCCTTTGACTCCAGAAGTAATCCCCATAAAAATAGCCTTCTTTTCCCTTGGATCCAATTTTGACTCTGTCACATGATAATATGCAGTTGATCCAAACACGTGCAAAGAGTCATAATCTACAGCACGCTTTCCATACTATTTTTCAAATGGTGTTTTGCCATCAATAGCTGCAGATGGTAAGCGATTAATGAGGTGGCACGCATATGTAACTGCCTCAGCCCAAAATTCTTTGCCCAAGCCATCATTGGACAACATACATCATACCTTCTCCAGCAAGGTCCGGTTCATACGTTCTGCCACTCCATTCTGTTGTGGTGTATGTCTGACAGTGAAGTGTCTGACGATGCCATCATTTTCACAAACCTTATTAAAATGATCATTTTTGTATTCACTTCCATTGTCTTTGCGAATACACTTGATCCTCCTGCCTGTTTGATTCTCCACCGTCATTTTCCATTTGAGAAAAAGTTCCAACACTTCATCTTTGCTCTTCATTGCTCTTCGGGAAAAATCATCAACAAAGGTTACAAAATAGTGCTTCCCACCCAATGAAGATGTTTGGAAGGACCCCAAACATCATAGTGTACATAATCCAATATGCCTTTAGTATTATGGATCGTTGTACCAAATTTAACCCTTGTCTATTTCCCTTTGACACAATGCTCGCAAAACTTCAAGTTGCAAACCTTTACTCCTTTTAGCAATCCTTGATCTGATAAAGTTTTCAAGGATTTTTCTCCAGCATGTCCCAAGCGCATGTGACATAGCCTGGTTGCGTCTGCCTCTTTTTCGTCACTGGATGTTACTGTCGCTGTCCCAATAACTGTACTACCGCGATAACGGTACATGTTATTGTTCTTCTGATTGGCCTTCATTACCATTAGTGCACCGGAGCATACTCTCATCACTCCATTTTCTGCAATGATTTTGAAACCTTTCGATTCTAGGGCTCCCACAGAGATAAGATTTTTCTTCAAACTCGGTACATATCAAACATCTGTTAATGTTCTGATCATTCCATCATGGTTCCTTAATCGTATTAAACCAATGCCATATGAGGTAAGAGGGCTGTTATCCGCTGTATGGATGACTCCATATTCCCTTCTTGAAAATCCACGAACCAGTCCCTGTTGGGACATATATGATAGCTACAAGCCGAGTCCATCAACCATATGTCTGATGATGTTGATGGCTCTGTTGTAACTAATGAGAATTCTGAATCATCACCATCAGCTACATTTGAATCCATAATGGCCTTTCCATTGTTATGTTTGGCCTTATTCTTCAACTTCGGACAGTCTTTCTTCCAGTGCCCCTTTTCTCGACAAAAGGCACATTCATCTTTGTTGGGTCTAGATCTTGACTTGGATCTTCCTTTCTTTGTCCTCATTTGATTTTGAGGACGACCCTTCACAACCAGTGCTTCTCCTTCTCCGCCCTTTTGTTTTTCTCCCTTTCTTTGTTCATAGCTGTACAAAGCCGAACAAACTTCTCTGAGAGAAATTTCGTCATTCCCATGGAGTAGAGTAGTTTCAAGGTGCTCGTACCCATCAGGAAGTGACCCCAACAACATCAAGGCCAAGTCACAAT